TGGAAAAGGATTTTGACTGGAAACTATGACACCAAAGACAAAGAACATAAACACTGTACTCTAGTTGGCAAAGTTGTTTCTCAGGTAGGTACCAGTTCAATTCTGAAACTGCTGAATATGTTATGCTGGGATTGAACAAATAAATGGATTATAAGTGGTGGGAATCAGGTTTCTACTATTGGATGTTACTGATAAGCAAGAGGAAGCTAGCATGAACCATGTGTTAATGGCTAGAGTTAGTAGCATTAGTACCTCTAATTTAATATATAATTACATAGAAATATTTACAGGTATGTATATACAGAGATTAAATACAGCCCCGGCTGGTGTTTCTAAGTGGCTAGAGCAGCCGTGGGCAAACTACGGCCCGCGGGCTGGATCCGGCCCGTTTGAAATGAATAAAACTAAAAAAAAAAAAAGACCGTACCCTTTTATGTAATGATGTTTACTTTGAATTTATATTAGTTCACACAAACACTCCATCCATGCTTTTGTTCCGGCCCTCCGGTCCAGTTTAAGAACCCATTGTGGCCCTCGAGTCAAAAAGTTTGCCCACCCCTGGTAGAGCATCAGCCTGTGAACCGAAGGGTAGAGGGTACGATTCCTGGTCAAGGGCATGTACTTGGGTTTTGTTTGCTTCCAGGCCCTGGTCTGGGCATGTGCACAGGCAACCAATCAAAGTATCTCTCACATCAATGTTTCTCTCTCTCTCCTCCTCTCCCGCTTCCACTTTCTCCCAATGGAAAAAATGTCCTTGGTGAGGATTAACAAAAACAAATCAAAACAAAATAGAGATTAAAAAATACACATGGATTTTCTTGCTCTATCAGCTAAGAGAGCCAAGGAGAAATGACACCTCAGTAGCAACAAGTACACCTGGTTTCTAGTACCATTCTCCAATAAAGGAACGAGGGCTAAATGGCAGATTCTAGGGCTGGGGCAGTTGAAGTGACAGAGTAAGGAAGTGCTCAAAAAAAAAAAATGAGGGCATGTCAAAGGGATATAAAAGAACTCCCAATGGCTATGGCTGGGACAAGTTGAATAACAAAATAAATGCAGTTTTGGATTTATACCTCCAAGTATAAAATAAATACCCTTAAGTCCATGCTGACATAAATGGTTGAATTTATAAATGAGGGAGAAGAGACTTGTCTTCTGTATAAAACAATCCCAAATAATTTATATAGATACTTGCCCTTAAGGGGGTGGGCCTTAACTCTTCCCCACCTCTTGAGTTTTAGTGATTCACTTCCAAAGAGGAGATTTATGTGAAAGGATAAAAAAAGTTATTTTATAGTGGAGAAACCTGACAAACACTACCTCAGCCAGGTGATGTCAAGTTGATTATGTATCTTTGATGTGATGTAATGAAAAGTGCAATTCGCCTCTGTGGTCTTCCTCCCAAAAGTCCAGAATCCTGGTCTAATGATGAGAAAAATATCAAACTCAAATTGAGGGACATTCAACAAAATACCTGACCAGTAATCCTCGAAACTGTCTAGGTCAGTGGTCGGCAAACTGCAGCTCGTGAGCCACATGCGGCTCTTTTGGCCCCTTGAGTGTGGCTCTTCCACAAAATACCGACTTCTGCGCATGGACCATGAAGTTTCAATCGCACTGTACATGCGCGCCCGCACATGGTATTTTGTGGAAGAGCCACACTCAAGGGGCCAAAGAGCAGCATGTGGCTCGCGAGCCACAGTTTGCTGACCACTGGTCTAGGTCATCAAAAGCATGGAAAATCCGAGAAACCGTCATAGCTGAGAGGAGACATGATGAGCACATGTAATGTCATATCCTGGATGGGATCCCAGAACAGAAAAGACATTAGGTACAAACTAGTGAAATCTGAATAAAGTACGGCATTAGGTAATAGTAATGTACCAATGTTAGTTTCTTGATGTGAAAAAGGTACCACATTAATGTTAAAGGTACCACAACAGGGGGAAGTGGTGCTGGTGATGTGAACACTTTGAAAACTTTTGTGAAAATCTAAAATGATTCAAAAATAAAAAATTTATTTAAATTAAGAAAGCATAATCTGTAATACTTTCAACAATAAAGATACATTTTAAAAAAGAAAGCATAATGTGCTTACATGCAATATGGGATCCTGGATTGGATCTTAGAACTGAAAAAGGACACTAGTGGAAAAACTGGTGCAATCTGAATAAAGTCTGGAGTTTACTTAATAGTAATGTACTAGTGTTGGTTTCTTAGTTTGACGAATGTACCATGGTAATGTAAGATATTAACATTAGTGAAAACTGGGTAAAGAGTATGTGGTAATTCTGTATTGTCTTCGCAATTTTTCTGTAAATCTAGTTATTTCAAAATTAAGAAATTTATCTTTATTATTGAAAGTATTACAAAGGCCTCCCTTTCCCCCCACTGACCCCTTATATCCCACCCCCACCACCCACCACCCACCCCAGCCTTTCCTCTGAGATTCCTCAGTCTGTTCCATGTTTCAATGTCTCTGGATCTATTTTGTTCATCAGTTTATTTTGTTCTTAGATTCCACATAAGTGAGATCATGTGATACTTGTCTTTCTTTGACTGGCTTATTTCACTTAGCATAATGCTCTCCAGGTTTATTTTTAAACATGTAATGGAAGGTAGCTGGATGTACAAGCTGCTTGGACCACCCTAGATAACCTACATGATGGCATTTGATTTGTTTGGGACTCTGCAGTGGCTCTCTCCCCTCATCTTAATCCAACCTCCCATACCTGTTGTATTGATCTGAATGTATTTCATGTGCATGAATCTACACGAGAACAGTGGCTGTGGTTAACAGGGGTTGTCTGGGTTCCCCAGGAGACTAGATTACTCAAATTTAGAGGACAAAATAAAATTTTTCAAGCTTCAGAAATAAAGGGAACAGAGTGCAGTTGTGGAGAAAGAGTCTGTTAAACAAGAGCTCAAAACAGAAGACAGTAAGGATTTTGGAGGAAATAAGACAATGGTTTTAGGCTGGGAGGAGGGCAGGAGACAAGGGGAAATGTTGACAGGGTGGGTGCTCTATTTTCTCTGCCTTACTTATGGCTTACTCATGAACTTTTACCCATATTACCCTTGCTACTTGTAATATTAGATGAACAAAGATTGGATTTAGAATCAAGTGGCTGCCATGAGTTACTAGGAAGGGTAGAGCAGATAGGGGTTAGGGGCAAGAAGGGGCATTTCTAAAGGCCATAGCCACAAGACAGTTCCAAGCTCTCTTATTTCTGTGGCCATCTTCTCCACCAGACTGTAAGCCGCTTCTGGGATAAGGATGTGGCCTTATTCTTCTCTAGTCCCAGCAGTGCTCTGTACACAGTAGGTGTTCAATAAACATCTGCTTAATAAATAAGGCAGGATGCTAGAAACCAGTGAAGTTGGAAATGTTTTTCCTTTGAAAACTTACGGGGAAATAGTAAATCCCCAAAATGTCTTTAACTTGAATCCCCACAATAATGACGGTACTTAAAAATATTCTGATAATTTGATTTTTTCACATCAGTGGGAGAGATCTGGCCTCTCTCAAAAATGGAATTTTGGGGGTGGATATATTAATGTTTAACATATATTTCAAAGAATAAAAAAGTCACTGCCAGCTGTATAATTTGAGGACCAGAGAAAATGGTATGCTAAATTATGCTGAGTCATTCATACTTCATTTCCAATTGAGGTAAATAAGACAAGAAAAAAACACACCATGATTCTTCAAAGAAATTTTAATGAAAATTGGTTTTAAACTTTTTCATCTAGCACAGTGGTTCTCAGCTTTTTACACAAGTCAACGATAAAATTTTAACCAAAGGAGAAATTGGAAAATAAGGTAATATGATTATTTTTTTCAAAAGCTAGGTTTATTCACTTTAATAAATCATTTTCTTGCTCTAAGATGGTAAGACTGTACTTGACTTTTTATTAGTACTAAAATGTTCTCTCTTTTTTGAACAAGTGAAAGTAGACGGTGGCAGTTTAAAAACTGTTGAGCTGGCAAAAAATCCAGTGCCCTGTGTCAATCCCTAAAATGCTATTTGTTCATGAAATCCCAATATCTAGAAAGTGCTTACACACACAGACACACACACACACACACCATCTAGTAGGGGACTCAGGGATTCAGAAGAGGCAGTTAAAAATGTATGTTTGTTGATTACTACAGCCATTGTGTAGGCACTAAACTTTATACATACACAATTTCTCAGTAAATCTTTACAATTTCAGTTAGGTATTCTCATATTACAGTTAAGGAAATGGAAATTAATATAGGATAAATAGCTTGCCCAAGGAATGTGCTAATAGAGGGAATCAAATCAAGTTTATCTGATTCTAGAATCTGCACTCCTTTCTAGAATACCACATCATTTATTAGAGTGAGTCTCTAATATTCATTTTTGGGAAGAATATTGTTCAGTTTTTCTTTGTATACATCTTGATGCTACCTTTCAACTTCACTTTCTGACTTGTAACTTTGTAGTGTATTTATATAGTGATGACAAACACTTTAAGACTCAACTTAAAAGTGTCAGTATTATTCTCTTAAGCTGGCATCCCAATTATTTTTTGCCTTTTTGTTCAAGAAACCACATAAAACCTATCTGGAAATAGTCATCTGGCAACACCCCAGTTATCTGCAGTTGAAATGACCAGCACCACAGCAGACTACAAGTCCTCCTCAGGAAGAAGTCAGTGAAAGTTGAGCTGCCTCAAAGACCTATGGACATCAAGTTCTTTGAAACTCTAGACCAGTGGTTCTCAACCTTCCTAATGCCGCAACCCTTTAATACAGTTCCTCATGTTGTGGTGACCCCCAACCATAAAATTATTTTCATTTGTACTTCATAACTGTAATTTTGCTACTGTTATGAATCGTAATGTAAATATCTGATATGCAGGATGTATTTTCATTGTTACAAATTGAACATAATTAAAGCATAGTGATTAATCACAAAAACAACATGTAATTATATATGTATTTTCTGATGGTCTTAGGCGACCCCTGTGAAAGAGTTGTTTGACCCCCAAAGGGGTCGCGACCCACAGGTTGAGAACCGCTGCTCTAGACCAATCCAGACCATGAGACCAAAAAAAAAAAAAGACTGGTCAGAAAGCCAATGGCATTACTACTCTATCTGTTGGGTAAAATACAGAAGAGTGAGCAGACAGAGATGAGAACAGGGGAGTAAGGAGAACAGAGAGGAGGGGGAAAGAGAGTACAGCATTGATAAGAGGAAGAAATCAGCACAGGGGTAAAACCTAGGCAAACAATATTCAATTTGTAACTAGAAAATCCAGACCACTCCAAGACCATGCTGATTAACAAGGATATGATCATGGCTCTCCAGCTTCTTGCTTACATACTGAAAACAAATGTAGTAAAAACATTTAAGCATACAGATAAACTCAGCAATGTTCATTTTAGAACCAGAATTAAATTTTCTTTTTTTCTCAGAGGTATGTAGCTAATGCACTATAATTTAGGGGTTTAAAATCTGGCCTTCTGCTTGCTAAAAATAAAATTATAAAACAAGACTTTGTCTTGCATTTCTCAAATTATCAATGTCATCTGAAAATAAAGTCACATTTTTAGCAGGTGTTGGTGACCAACTTTTAATAAACTATTTAATTTTCAGAAACATATGCTAATCATCAATGACATGATCAGGGTACCATTGCCCTAGATGTTATTTCCTTGGTACATTATATCAATATTTACAAAGGCTTTCAAGTTCAATAACACAAAACAAAACAGCTTAGTTTTTAAAACTACAATGTTTTAAAAAAATGTAAACAGTTCAATTTTACATTATTGTAAAAAAGAAGACTCACTCCTTAATGCGGCTTAATTTTTTTTAAGTGAGCAAAGCCTGGTGCTCATGGATAAAGAATGAAAAAAAATCTTTACATAGAAACATTGTGCTCCAGTGTGGCAAAAAAATTATATATATATACATACAAAGAAAAGAATTGTTAAGTCCACAATTTAGACCACAAACAAAATCTTGTCTCCAAATTGAGAAATTTATAAAAACCATTTACACATGGTTGTTGACCTACTGAAAACCTATATAACATTTTTAAAACAATAACTCAGTCAAAAGATACCACTTTTCTTAAAAATGAAATTTTGTGCAAAAGAAATTGTTTAAGCTAGAAATAAGACTCCTTTCCCAGTAAGAGGCCAAAAGAGTCATTGAAATAATTTAACTTTGTTAAGATTTAGTGCATGTAACCAAAAGGCACACACATGGGATTAATATATTAATATATTTTCATGCAAAAACCTGTGCATGTTCACAATTATATAACAAAAACACAAATATAACAAATGTAAAGCCTAATATTTGGCAATGTTATTCTAGCCACATTCCTTTCTAGTCTATCAGTCCAGGGTTTACTAGATCATTAACACTGCCTCTCAAAAAATATATTATATTTGAACATCTTCCCACAAAAATTAAAAAAAGGATGTTAGCCTAAAACACTATAATTTTTTTCAATTCTGATACATATAGAAAGTTACTGATGTATTTATTTAAATGGCATTTCAAATTAAGATACATTTTTCCTTTTGTTAATAAATACTTTGATTGCTCCAGTGAAGTCAGCAGAGAGAAGAACTTCTGTATTATCTGTCTTCATAATACCTTAAAAACATAAAAAAATATTTTTAGTTGATTTAAAAGGATTATTAAGTCTGCTGTTAACAATTGTCACATGCCCATGACCTTTGGGGTAGAAGATCCTCTCTCTGCCTCTTCTATCTCTTTCCTGGCTCAATCCTGTAATCCTTTCTTCCTCCTGTGCCTCTCCTCTCTGAGGTTCACTTCCACTTACCTGGTCTTTCCCTGACTTGTAGATTACAGTCCCTTGGGACCTGGAGGCCTGTATTTACTCCCAGGTAGCCTAGGCCTCTAAGTTGTCTAATGTGTCATTTTGTGGCAGGAGACTAGAGTGCTGGCTGGGCAAGTCTATTGCTAACAGGGTTCTCTAATGAGGCAGATGGCAAGGTTTATTACACAGAACACACTGCCATGAAATGAAGTACATATGATCGATTTGTGAATGCTGACAGTGCCTTTTCCCTTTACAGTCCACACTGAAGAGCTATGTAACTAGCAATGGTGAATGGGAAAAATGCTTACCTCTTGTACTACCTGTTATATTTAACAAAATTCAGTGTAAACTACTTCTATTATGCATAGACAACATTTGTGGATTTAAGGACTGAATAGTAAGGAAGAAAATAATACAAACTTTAACTGGAAAGCTGTGTACAGGATGAGTTATACAAAATGGTTTCACTTAGATTTGCTAAGAACATATCCTAAGCCTTTGAACATTCCTTCCTATCCTCGAGGCATATCTCAAAGTAGTGCTATGCAGCAGGAGCAGCAGCAAAGGACTTAGGGATATGAGAAAGGCTAGAGAAAAAAATAATTCATCATATACGATAATAATGAAGATGATAATGGTAATGCTGACTACATGCCAGGCTTTTGGTAGGCACTTTATATATGTTATTTTCAACTCTTATCACAACTTTGTAAACTGGGTATTTTCACCATTTTACACATGAGGAAAATTGAAGCTTACATTGCCAATTATATCGGGAATAAAGAGAGAGCAATCAGATATAATTTATCATATCATATCCTGGGTTTAAGAATTTATTCTTAGAATATACATTTATAGGTAAAAAACCAAACACAAATCTAACCATGACCCATTAAAAGTTGTGTCTCTTTATAAAGAAGTTCAAAGAATAGTACTTTTCATTTTTCTTCAAATTGTTTTAAAAGCTAGAATTTTCTGGGAAATGTGTAGGGGACATGTATAGATTGTTAAAAGATAACTGGGGGAAAAGAAAAGGAAAAAAAAACCCAATGACTTAAGTTAGATTTAGAAAAAAATAAAATGAAAAGAAGTATTTCCAAACAGGCACTTAGTAAAGGTTTAATAATTCTGTCATTTTATTTTTAGATCCTGTAATTTAAAAAAGTGCTAAACTGAAGTTCAGCTTTGCTATCAAAATTTTTCTTAACAGACAGAAAAAATAGTATATTTAGTATAGTGTGCAGGGCAAATAACACCATAGGGGAAATAAGTTTTAAGCATTCCAATACTTTTAGAAGCACCTTTTGTACACTGTATTGCTGTGGCTTTACAACTTTCTAAAAGGCCTGGTTGTAGTCTCTAAAGTGAGAAAACACATTTACTGAACTCTTCTGCAAGTGATTTTAATCATACAAACTTGTTTTCATTAACAACTGGTCCAAATTTACATGGTTTTATACTCTTAAGGACCATTTTTTACATAATTGGCACTCAGTATTACATGGTGGCTTCTTTTCACTTCCTAATCTGAGCATTTTATAGAGCTAGAATTAGTACTTGTTCTGAAAGCATATGCTACAAATTGCAAGAAATTACAGGCTTGTAAATAGCTACCTAAGAGAAACTATAAATTTGTGGCAAGTAGAAAAAAACACTGCTTTCATTTTGGTTTAATTCATTTATTCAGCAAATGTTTATTAAGCAGCTACTATATACAGGCAAGCACTGTGTTAGGCACTGGCACTACAACAAATAAGACATATAAACTCTCTGTCCTCACAGAAATGAGTCTAGTAGAAGAAAACATAATAAAATTTGTATTTATATGTTTTTGTTTACGTTTCTCCAAGGAAAATAGCTGCCCACAGAAGAAATTAAGAACTTTCAAATTTTTCATTTTTAATTCCCAAGTGAATTTAAAAAGAAGTAAAACTTGCAAGAACTATGTTACTGAAATGTTCACAAATCGGTATCTTAAAATCATGTTGTAAACAAAAATATTCTTCACAGTTATGAAAACCTCACAATACCCAATATTAGGTCAATTAGGTTACAAAATGCTGACTAGATAAAAAGTAGAACAAATACAATATGAGTACCTACCAGAGGGTATAGTATCTAAAACTTCAGCATCTTCACTTTCTGACTTTTCAGATTGCACATCCAAAGACAACATCAAACTTGGGTTAGGGGCAAAGATGGCTGATGTAACAACTGCATTATGTGCTGGGGAGAAAAATTTACTTCAGGATAACTAATAAATCCAATTCTAAACATCAAGACAGAGAGTAAAATATGCAAAAATACAATAGTGTATGTTACATGCAAATATCTTTTAAAACTAACATATAAGTAACTATGAACTATTTAAAACCCAAATATATTTTCTAAAGAAAATACCATATACAAGTTCTGAGATCCCATGCTTCTCAAATTTTACACAAGTATAAGTTCTTTCTTGGCATGGAAATATCCAACAAAGCCAAACACAAAGCAAAAGCACATATATCAGCCCCTTTGAAATAATGTCTATATAAATTTGCTTCTAGTACATTGCACTTTAAATTTATTCATTTTAACTTTATTCACTTATAAAAGACACATAAGAGTAGGCATTTACTTACCTTTAATACCTTCCCAAAAGTCATTACGATCTCTCCTGACTGAAGTAAACTTGCTTAGGTCATGGTAAGTACTCCAGATATAAACATATTTATCTTCTGAGCCACTAACGAGGTAACTAAAATCATGGCTAAAATTTGGAGAAGAAAAACAAACACCTCAGTAATTTTTTTAGGTCTCCCTCTATCAGAACGTCCTACTTTAAAACACATAAGAAAACACCCAGAAGAATTTTGTTGAACTATAGACTCCTATTCTCACTCTAGAGGTGATGACAGTGTAGGTTTGATATGGGGGCCAGAAGCATTAGTATTTTCACCAAAGCTCTAGGTTACTGTGCTACTGGCTAACCCACACTAGGAGGAAAGCCTCAAGAGATGAAAGAGAGAACCAGAGTATTTTACCAATTAACTTACTGGGTAATTACAATAGTCCCCCTTTTCCACAGAGGATATATTCCAAGACCGTCTGTGGTTGCCTGAAACAACACATAGTACCAAACCCTATATATCCTATGTTTTTCCTATACATATGGTCATGCACCAAATAACAATGCTTTGGTCAATGATGGTCCTCATATACCATGGTGGCCCTTTAGATTATAATGGAGTGGAAGATTTCCTATCACCTAGTGACATCATAGCTATTGCAGTGCCTTCATGCAATACATTACTCATGTGTTTGTGATGTTAGTATAAAGAAACCAACTGTCCTGCCAGACATATAAAAGTATAGCACATACAACTATGTAGAGTTCCTAATACTTGATAGTGATGATAAACAACATCACTGAGTTATTATTTACTATACTATACATTATAACATAATTTTAGAGTGTACTCTTTCTATTTAAAATAAAAACAGTATGCCATTTTACACTGGTAGCAGCTTCTTATATCTTGAGTTTATGGAGTTTCTTGATTCCATCATTTTCTTGTGGGCTTGATTTAATATCAAGTTTTATAAATTTAGTGTAGCCTAAGTGTGCAGTGTTTGTAAAGTCTACAGTAATGTCCTAGGCCTTCACATTCACTTACCACTCACTCACTGACTTACCCAGAGCAACTTTCAGTCCTGCAAGCTCCATTCATGGTAAGTGCCTATATAGGTATAGCATTTTTTAATCTTTTACACCATATTTTTACTGTACCATTTCTATGTTTAGATACACAAATACTTACCATTGTGTTATAATTGCTTACATTCCAGTATAGTAACATGCTGTACAGGTTTGTGACCCAGGGGCAATAGGTTATACCATATGGCCTAGTTGTGTAGTGGCTATATCATCTAGGTTTGCGTAAGTGAACTCAACGATGTTCCACAAGAAAATTGCCTAACAACGCATTTCTTAGAATGTATCCCTATTGTTAAGCAGTGCATGACTACAGATACCTATGATAAAGTTTAGTTTATAAATTAGGCATAGTAAAAGATAAACAACAATAGTAAAACAGAACAATTATAACAACGTATTGTAATAAGTTATGTGAATGTGATCCCTCTCTCTCTCTCTCTCTCTCTCTCTCTCTCTCTCTCTCTCTCTCTCTCTCTCTCAATGTTATTGTGTATACACAGCATGGATATGCTGAGGAAAGAAATGATTCATGTTTTTGGTGGGAAGGCACACGATTTTATCATGTTACCCTCAATGATTTACTATTTAAAACTTATTATTTCTGTAACTTTTAATATTTTTGGATCATGGTTCACCATGGGTACCTGAAACTGCGGAAAGCAAAACCATGGATAAAGGGGGGACTACTGTAGCTGGTAATTACAGAAGCAATAAGAACTTCTAAGAAAAGGAATAAAGGAAAGAGGGTTAAAAAGAGGCAGGTAATTCAAGAGAGCTTCCAGAGCCTTAAGAGTTCAAATGATAATGATATGTAAAGGTATAAATATAGAACACTGTATTTCAGGCTGTTAAAAGCTTTATTAGCTTCTGTACCTAAAAGGATCAAGATCATGAGTGGGGTGGGTGGTAAACTACCTCTAAAAAAACCCTCACATAAAAGTACAAAAGCACAAATTCTAGAGCTGGGAGTCTTCTAATTCTGGCTCTGCACTGACTAGTGCCGACTTTAGGCAAATTACTTAATTTACTGGGTTTTGGTTTCTTCGTCTGCAGATTAGGGGCAATTCTAACTCTAAATACCATACCGGTGGATTGTAAGTATTGTATGAGGATAGCATGAGATACCAGTTATAAAAGTGCAAAGAAACTAAAAACATAATATAGACATAAGGCCTAGTAGATCAATGGAAAACGGGAATGCGGGATAAATATTCTGATCTCTTTTGGGAATTTCTCATTGCCAATTTACCTGAAACTTGCTTTGATCTGGCTGCTGCTGTTGACATAACCCTTATACTTCATGGAAAGTGACAAATCTCTAAGATCATATAGTCTGATTCTGGAGTCATTTGAGGTTACCAGTATCTAAAAATAAATCAAGGGAAAAGTTAAATATATAATCTTTTAATCTAAGTTAAGCTATAATTTATAAAAAGGGTATATACACATACACAACTAGAAAAAGCAGTATCCCACAAGAAAGGGAATATATTCATAGCCAAGATATTAAGAACTAACTTTCAAGAACCTATACATAGTATGGAAAGAGATGGTTTTGAATACTTAGTACCTTATTTTCTCCTGGTAAAGGCTCAATGCCGGTAATTTTTCTTCCAACCTTGTTGCGTCCTCTAGTAGATCGTACATGTATTTGTGTGTGGTATTTCAAATGCTAAAAAGAAATGACATATTTAAAAGATCAGAAATAGAAGGAACCTCAAAGGTCATCTGAAAACTCACAGACATGGTAATATGTGCCCCAATCCTATATAATAAAACCCTAATATGCAAATCGAGTGAATGGTCACTATGATGCACACTGACCACCAGGGGGCTGATGGTCAATGCAGGAGCTGCCCCCTGGTGGTCAGTGCGCTCCCACAGAAGCCAGGCTCACAGCTGGCGAGCACAGTGGTGGTGGCCAAGAGCCTCTCCTGCCTCCATGGCAGTGCTAAGGACCCCTGGGGGGATGTCTGCCTGCTGGCTTAGGCCCAGGGAGACGTCCCAGACTGTGAGAGGGCAAGGGCTGGGCTGAAAGACTCCCCTCACCCCCACCCCCAATGCACAAATGTTGTGTACCAGGCCTCTAGTTTACAGATAAGGCAGTTAAAGTGCAGAGGGGATACAGCAACTTATTCAAAACCACAAAAGTGTTTTACTAATTATTCAATTACATAATTTATACAAGATAGTCATTTACCTCTGTATCATAGAAAATGCACCTGCCATCATATGTCCCAATCACTGCATATTTGCCATTCTGACAGAAATTTGCAGCTGTGATCAATTTTGTTTGACCATCTACTTCATTCCACAAAGCCACTTTTTTGTCAGGTATGTTCCAAAGGCGGAGCTTTCCATCCAATGAACCACTCAGAAAATACCTGTCATCCTAAAAATGTGACAAAATTTTAGAAAGCTTCATTCTACCACATCAAGAAAACTCATTAAATCAATTCATTAACTCTATTAGAAATGTTTAAAATATGTAGATTTCATTTTAAAAGTATTATTCAAGTACACATTACTTTATTCACTAAAAATCACAATTAGGCCTGGCTGGCATGGCTCAGTGATTGAGCATCAACCTATGGACCAGGAGGTTGTGGTTGGATTCCCAGTTGGGGCACATGCCTAGGTTGTGGGCTTGACCCCCGGTGTGGGACGTGCAGGAGGCAGTTAATCAATGATTCTCTCTCATCATTGATGTTTCTCTCTCTCTCCCTCTTCCTTCCTCTCTGAAATCAATAAGAATATATTAAAAAAAACAATGAGAAAACACAGTATTTTCCTGGACAGTGTGGCTCAGTTGGTTGGAGCACCAAAAGGTTGCAGGTTTGATTCCTTGTTGAGGTGTGTAGGGGAGGTAACCGATCAATGTTTCTCTCTCACATTGATGTTTCTCTCTCTCTCTCTCTGTCTCTCTCTCTCTCAAGAAAAAAAAGGAAGAAAAAAGAAAACACAGTATTTCATTTTAGAGCAGTGGTTCTCAACCTTGGCTGCACATTAGAATCACTTGGGAATCTTTTTAAAATCCTGATTTCTGGGCCTCATCCGGAAATTCTGTTTCTTTGTTATGGAGTGGGGCCACAACATTAGTAACAAAGAAACAGAATTTCCGGAGGATGAGGCCCAGACATCAGGATTTTAAAAAGATTCCTAGGTGATTCTAATGTGCAGCCAAGGTTGAGAACCACTGTTTTAGAGAAATGACATTGTGATCACTTTATCATATCCTTAAACTGCTTTTCTCAAAGTATGGATATTCATAGATAATATGTTGAAATGTATAGTGTGTAGGAGAAGGGTTCTATGATGAAATTTGAAAAACTCCGGGTTACAGAAAATTAAACAAGATTCTTAGTTCCAAAAAGGGGATAAAGTAGATAGCATTTTCCAGCTTATTTAACCATGGACTTTTTTGTGGAGAGTTGGTATAGGGTCAGGATAGGAACATTTAGCAGGGCTATTACCTTCAAGAAACATGCTTTGGGAAAAACCATCCTATAATGATACATTTGTCCATAGCCTTCTCTGGGACACATGTTAACAATTGGACAAAAGAGTAATGCCAGTTAGCCCACAGAACCAGCCAATTTTTGGTGCTCTGACACCATGTCACCAGCGAATCACTTCACTAATCAAATTTTCAATCAAATTCTCAGTTTTAAACCAGGGGTTCTAAATTAGGGGCAATATGGCCCCATAGGGAACATATAGCAGTGTCTTAAAACATTCTTTAAAAATATTTTTTATTGATTCCAGAGAGAGAGAGAGAGGAAGGCGGAGGAAGAGGGGAAGGGACATAGAGAAACATCAATCAGTGCCTCCTTCACGCACCCTGATAGGGGATTAAGTCCACAAACGGTGCACATGCCCTAACTGGGAATTGAGCCAGCGACCCTTCAGTGCATGGGATGACACTCAACCCACTGAGCCATACCGACCAGGGTTGAAGACACTTTTGATGGTCACAACTTAGGGGTGGGTGGGTGGGGTGCTACTGACATCTAGTTGGTAGAGGCCAGCAATGCTGCTAAACATCCTAGAATGCACAAAATAGCCTTCCCTCCATCTAAAACAAAGAATTATCCAGCTCAAAATGTAAACAGTGTCAAGGTTGAAAAATCCTGCTCTAAAATAAAACCAGGCATATTATTAAGCTGGCCTAATTTTTGGTAACATAAGAATTAAAGATAGCCCTAGCCTATGTGTGGTTCAGTTGGTTGGAGGGTCATCATGTACACCAAAAGGTGGCAGGTTCAGGTCCTGGTCAGGGCACCGGGTGGGAGGCAACCAATCAATCTTTCTCTCTCACATTCATGTTTCTCTCTCTTTCTCTCTCTCTCTCTCTCTCTCTCTCTCTCTCTCCCTCCCTCCCTCCCTCCCTCCCTCCTTCCCTCTCTCTAAAATCAGATAAAACAATTGGGATGCCAAAACAAAAAAACAGATTCTCTTCTCCCCTCAAGATGATTCTTCTTACCCAACTCTGAAGCCTGTCAAGGATAATCTACACAGGTTGGTTATTTTATGGCTATGGTATAGTAGGCTTGACTCAATGTCTACTAGTAGAAAAGCTTGGCCTTACAATTCAGAATTTTATTTACATCCATCCATGCATCCATCCATCCATCCGTGTATATGTGCATATGTACCTCCATTTTGCTATTTCTTTTACAACTCCACTATCTTCCTTCCAGATAACATTTAATAGAGTTATACTTCCTAAGAAAATGTCAATATCACCCCATTCTTCCCTAGAGTCTCCTAAAAACTCTTTAGGTCAGTAGACTTTTTAGAAATAGGGCTTTTCAGTTTCTAAAATAAAAGAAATAAAAGTATAGAAAAATTACTGATTAAAGAGAAACCTTAATAATAATGTACTACATAGATAAGTTCTCTCTTTCCGCTGATATATTATAGTTAGAGGTACAGGAAAGGATTTTGCTCACAGTTGCTGAGAGGGGTAAATCCATCCTTTTATTGTACTATTGGGTGACAGGTGGGGGTGTTATTCGAAAGAAGCCTCAACACGCTAGATGGTTATAACTGATAAGGTATTTACATAGATTTAACATTTTTAATTTTCAAAAGTTCTTAACTAAGTCTTTTAAAGGTTCAGAATTACTACTGCCTATGTTATAAGCTTGCCCAGGGACGGAAATTATATTGAGGGAAACAAAAATAGTCACTCTTCTCTCTTAATCTGGGGAAAAGAGGAAGAAATGTGAATATAATTAAAACATTGCATTAAAAAAACAACAGTGTGATCCTGGAAGGTGTGGCTCAGTTGGTTAGAACATCGTCCTGAGCACCAAAGGGTTGTGGGTTTGATTCTTGGTCAGGGCACATAGACGGGTTGTGGGTTTGATCCATGGTGGGGGTGTGTATGAAATGCAACAGACTGATGTTTCTTTCTCTCCCTCTCCCTTCCTCTCTCTCTCTAGAATCAAGGAAAAACATATCCTTAGGTGAGGATTAGAAAAAAGAAAGACAACAGAGTGGTGATGGCCAGAGGGAGGGAGGGCTGGTTGGGCAAAAGGGGGGGAATGAGGGACATCTGTAATAATGTCAACAATAAAAATACAGTAAAAAACGACAAAGGATGCTTAACATCCTATATAATAAAAGCCTAATATGCTAAATGTCCAGTTGTCCGTTCAACCAATCAAAGTGTAATATGCTAATGATATGCTAAGGCCACTCAACTACTTGCTATGACGTGCACTGACCACTAGGGGGCAGATGCTCTGACTGGTAGGTTAGTTTGCTGCTGGGGTCCGGCTGATAGGGACTGAGTGAGACTGGCTGGACAAGCCCTGGAGCCCTCCCGTGGTCCCTCCCCGCTGGCCAACTTCCCGTCCCTCCCTGGCCCCGATCGTGCACTGGTGGGGTCCCTTGGCCTCGCCTGCGCCCTCTCACAATCTGGGACCCCTCGGGGGATGTCAGAGAGCCGGTTTCGGCCCGATCCCACAGGCCAGGCTGAGGGACCCCACTGGTGCACAAATTCATGCCCCGGGCCTCTAGTATAGAGATAAGGACATGATTGGAAATTTAATCATACATCAACAAAGGAGAGGGAAAGTAATCATACATCAACTAGGGTCAGCTTAAGGACTCCATCTTTTTCACCTAGCTAGTGAAGCAGAATCAACATGTGACTTCCTTATGCTTATAGAATACAAAGAACTAAAACTAATTTAGTTTTATGTATGTGATGGCTCTATCCTATATGGGTAATCTGCAATTCCATGTTAGTAGACTTTTCTCCTTTAGTTGAAATCATATGAATTACTTTCTTTCCAGAGGAAAGATAGTAAAGGATTTTCTACATTGAAAATGATGCCAATTAAACTACTACTACAACCCCACAAGACTGGCTAATACATTATTTGATTGATCAGTCAAGCAGATTGACTAATACACTAATTACCCTCCAGAGAAGCCTGGTTCCCTCACCTTCCTTATAGTATAACAAAACATGTATAAACAATTACTTACTCTTGGATGAAAAGCTATGGCAGTAACAAAATCTATATGCTGAAAACAGCAAAGGCATTCTCTTCTGGAAATGTGCCATAACCTGACTGTTTTATCCATCGAAGAAGAGAGCAGAAAGTAGTTCTACGGAAAAATTGCCATTGATTATTTTATCACCATATGAGAAAAACTATGTATACAATAAAAATGAACTTTTAGTTTTTATGTACCACAATAGTTTTATTAGTATTGTTATACACAGCATCAGAAATAACAAAAGATTATCTAATTCATTTGGAAGATCCCATTTTTTGGAAATAGGTAAATATTATATTTCTTAGATTCTAAGACTTTTTCACATTACGTATTCTGGAATTGTATTGGAACTTAGCTATGAATATAAGGCATCTACTCATTTAATTGTCACTTCAGTTCAGTTACTTTCACATTGACAATACAGATGAATTTTAACTCACATGGATTCTCTGTCATTTAAAATGCCTTAAAAATATTACCCTATAATGCAGCATGAAATGAAAAGTTATTGTGTACCTGTCACACTGTAGGCAAGAAAATTAGAGAACAGAAACTGTCAAATGTTTCAGAATAGATCACAGAATTTTCAAAGCTAGAAGAGGCTAACATAATTGATTTAGACATTGTGAAGGCCCATCATCCAGGAACCAAACATCTATCTGTCAAAGGCTTCCAGCTATCAGAGCTCATTAATTTCTAAACACAATCTATTTAAGAGGAGATCAACAAGTCACACTGAATGTGAAAACCCCATTGAGATCCTAATATTCTTTGGTATGCATAAATGTGTTAAACAAATTAAAATAATGATGACAGTTAATGAGTACTTACAATGTGCTAAACATTGTTCTTAGCACTATAATGCAACCCTACAAAGTAGTTATATTATTATTCTCTTTTACAAATGAGAACACTGAGGCAAAGAGGTTAAATAATTTGTATACACAACATGTCAGTGGCAGAGTGGGTAGTCTGGCTCTAGGTCCGGGCTCTGACCACTACACTATTCTGTAGAGTGCTTGAGTAGAACACATGTTATGGAAAACAACCAGATACTTTGTCACTTATTTAAAGCAATGAAATAATCTTACATCTTTAAATGTAGAAAGACTAAGCATAAATATTGATTTGGATATGTAAATGTATTGATACATATATGCTATTTGGGCTAGTTTATAAGGTATACATTTTATGTGGTTTACCTAGTTTCATATAGATGGTGTATATTGACATTAAAAAACAGAATTTTGCAAAAGAAAAAAAAACCTTTAAAAATATATATAAAAAACAGAAAACAATAGAAAAAAACCAAGAATTTTGAAAGATTTATAATAATTTTAAAACATATAATAACAGTCCCAGCTGGTGTGGTTCAGTTGGCTGGGCATTGTCCCATGCACTGAAAGGTTGCTGGTACCATTCCTAGTCAGGGCACATGCCTGGGTTGTGGGCTCCATCCCTGGTGGAGGGCAGGCAGGAGGCAGTGGATTGATGTTTTGTTCTCACATCCATTTCTTTCTCTCTTTCTTTCTCTCTCTCTCAAATCAACTTAAAGAGTCTTAAAAAAATCTAATAACAATTATTTTTATTTTCAATATCTACTTAGTTCCAGGAAAGTTTTGAAGAGTATGTGCAGTTTAAATTATATTTCCTATTAATAACAACTATATAAAAACTGAACTTATTAGCCCTAGCTGGTTTTCTCAGTGGTTAGTGTCAGCCTGAGGACTGAAGGATCTTGGGTTCGATTCTGGTCAAGGGCACATACTGAGGTTGCAGGCTTGATCCCCGGCTCTGTTTGGGGCATGTGCAGGAGACAACCCAACTGATGTCTCTTTCTCACATTGATGTTTCTCTCTGTCTCTCTCCTCCCTTCTACTCTCTCTAAAAATCAATGGGAAAAATATCCCAGGGCGAGGATCAACAACAACAAAACAATAAAAGCAAAAACAAAACAACAAAAAAACTATGGTCTGTTGTTCACTAAAACTAACTTTATTCGCCCTAGCTGGTTTTGCTTAGTGGTTAGAGCATCAGCCTGGGGACTGAAGAGTCCCAGGTTCGATTCTAGTCAAGGGCATACGATTGGGTTTTGAGCTTGATCCCCAGCAGGGGGTGTGCAGGAGGCAGCTGATCAATGATTCTCTTTCATCATTGATGTTTCTCTCTCTCCCTCCCCCTTCCTCTCTGAAATCAATAAAAATGTATTTTTTTTAAAAGATTGACCCTTAAAAAAAACAACTAACTTTAGTCAATGCTTGCAATAGTCCATTGCTTGAAGTATATGAAAACATGAAGATAACCCTAGAAGTGAAGATGCTGAAGACATGTTAAGATTAGCTCTAATATGCCAAGAGATTTCTGTTCAATAAATACTTACTGAATAAGTAAAGTTAAATAATTTTATTAAACTAAGTATAGTTTTGGGAGTAAAAGAAATTAGATTCAAATCTAAGTTCTAACCACAACTAATTTTGTGATCTTGGATAGGCCAGAGGCCCAGTCTTCTAATCTACAAAATGAACTATTGTCTACCTCACAGTTACATTATAAGAACTAATAAGGTAATTCTTGTTACCTAGTACAAAATAAGTCTTCAAAAAAAGAAAACTCACTGTAAACACCAATTATGCTAGATATTGAAGAAAAACAATAGTAAAATAAGATCTGGTTCCTACTCTTGAGGGGCTTAGAATCTAGTTAAGTGAAAAAGAAAGTTTACTCGCCTCCCCCAACAATTGTGTGAGCCAGTTCCTTAAAATAAACCTCCTTATGTATGCACGTGCTCTTGGTTGTATTACTCTGGAGAACCCTGACTGATACAGTGGTCAGTGCAGAACTAATGTCTTCCAGTTAGTGTGACATTTCAGAAAAAAAATATTTGTTTGCTTTAATGAAGTAAAATGAGTGCAAGATTCCCAGTTATGTGCTTTGTATTTTTTGCTCCAGATGAATATGATTATCAGATTAAGAACATTTTAAATTTCCATCTTCTGACAACTCGGTCAGATTTCACACAGGGTAGGAAAGGAGTACAAAGACACAATTAGGGCCCAGTTTAAAACCAGACGACAAGGTGAGGCTCAACCTTGTTCCAGGAGGTTAGAGAAAGACATTACAACTGATGGGTTATGAAAAGCATCCAGACATCTAAACAAGTATGACAGGGACAGCAATTCATAAATAGGTGTGTTTCGAAGCTGGAGCTCAGAGAAAACCTGACTAGCCAATATATATTACCAATATCTTTGTGGGACATGAGGTTCTCTTGACATATTTAAAATATATAGGCATCAATGGTATCCCTCGTAGCATTTTGTTAACTCAGTTGACTTTTCTTAATTTAAGGCTTTTAAATATTATTCCCCCTGAATTCTTAATGTATTTTCGATTCTGATTACTGACAAATTCAATACAGATTAAATCAAAGGTACCATGCAAAACTCAAAGACTGTTTCCTGCTTCAAAGAACTTAAATCAAATTTAAAATCTCTCTTTAAATTTTCACAAAACTGCAAAAATATTTGATAAGTGGCAAAACAGAACTTCTACTTCTGGAATAATTTTGTTCTAAGGGGGAAAATCACATAATTAAGATGTATCATTGATTCATAGAATATAATTGTTAAGCCTAAATTAATAATTTCACAAATGTAGTATATTAGCCCCAAAGCAGGCTTGATTAGATAGATCAGACTTCACCTTTATAATTGAAGTCATATCCATTTTGCTGAGGATACTTTGCAAAATTATAAGAGGAAAAAGATACAGTATATAAACAGATCCAAACAGAAGTTGTCAAGTAATATAAACATTTTCTTATGAGCCTAATGTGACATCTTTTTTAACTTTAATTAATTTGTACATAGAGCCCACAAAATATATATGAACATTTAAATACTTGATAGTGTGACAATCATAGAAATAAAGCATTTGTTTTTATCCTATAGTCATAGTTACACAGAATTAACATACAATCCAAATAAAAATTTCCTACTTTAGACCATGAAAGATCAAGGAGATCAGCAGTATGTCCTTTATATTTGCAAAATGGCCGTTGTCGAAATGGTGCATTTTTATCATCAGTGTCTTCATCAGTTCCACTGCATACCTATTTAGACAAAGACAAATGTTAAAACTAGCAAAAGGAAAGCTTCCCACTCTGTCTGTTCTCTCATCATTTTGTATGATGCTTGACTGAAATCTTGATCCAGCAAAAGCAAACCACCATTTATGCTGAATCTGTTATTTATCACCTCTTTACCTCCTTGACCTAACAAATAACAAACCAGGATCATTAACTGAAGAACATCATGCTATCATAATCTTTTCCCTCCCTAACAGAGTCCGTACTTTGTCCTTTTCTGAGCATCTGTTACTACATGGGAGGTAGGAGCCAGCACCAGAGGGTGATCATGATCAGTCTAAGGTAATCAAGACAAACTCATTCCCTTTCCCAGTGATGACTGGTTTAGGAATGGGCACATGCTACAATTTTCATCCTTAGACATAAGGGAAAGTTTTTTGTGGGAGGGAGTAGGAGGGGGCTCTAAAATGATTTCCTCATTCTTAAAAAGGGCATATTAAGAGAGACCTTCCTTTTCCCTGCCTCCAAACATTGTTGTTTGCATAGGACACCTGAGAGTGTAGTAACCATTAGAGGACTATGAGGGAAACCAACCAGAGAGAACAGATAAAGAATAGCAAAGCAGGAAAATGGTAGGGCCCTGTGACCCTGATGATACTACTGAGCTGCTGAATTAGCCACTCCTGGAACTGCCTTACCTCCAGACTTGCTTCCTCATTGTTTAAGCCATTTTCAGTTGGATTTCTGATATTTGAAGTCAAATGCATCCTGACAGAGGTAGGTGAATAATAATGCCATTCTTTTGTGCAGTGAATTTAGTTTACAACATGCTTTTGTATTCATTATCTGATGAATCCTAACAACTCTAAGAGTTGGGTATTAAAATTTTGAAGATAGAGAGATTGAGATAAAAAAAAAAATCAAGGCTCAAAGAGGTTAAAATAACATATTAAAGGTAACATGGCCACCTGCAAACAGCAGAACCAAAGCAGAAATATAAGTGATTTAACATCAAGTTCAGAGGTTGTTCCTTAAATGTTTTAAAGCAGCAGTCGCCAACCGGGTGGTCCGCAGACCACTGGTGGCCCGCGAGGTCTGAAAGGCTGGCGACCACTGTTTTAGAGGATGTTAGCATGAGCAAAAAATATGGAGTGTTAGCTAAGCCTTGAATATTTAGGAAAGGATAGGTAGGATGATGAGGATAGAGAAAAAAAATATATGGAGATATAGTAGGAGATTAGGGTAGAAAGGTACTTTGAGACCAGATCATAAAGGGCCTTAAATTTGTGGCTTAGAAGGTCAGGCATTCTTTTTTTTAATTTTTAAAAATTAATTAGAGAGGGGGGAGGGAGGGAAGAAGGGAGAGGGAGAGGGGGAGAGGGGAGAGGGGAGAGGGGAGAGGGGAGAGGGAGAGAGAGAGAGAGAGAGAGAGAGAGAGAGAGAGAGAGAGAGAGAGATATCTATTTGTTATTCCATGCATTCAACATTCATTGGTGTATTCTTGCATGTGCCTTGACTGGGGATTGAACCTACAGCCTTGGCATATCAGGATGATGCTCTAACCAACTGAGCTACCTGGCTAGGGTAAAAGTTTAGACATTCTAATGCAGTGATGTTCTAATGCAGTGATGGTGAACCTTTTGAGCTTGGTGTGTCAGCATTTTGAAAAACCCTAACTTAACTCTGGTGCCGTGTCACATATAGAAATTTTTTGATATTTGCAACCATAGTAAAACAAAGACTTATATTTTTGATATTTATTTTATATATTTAAATGCCATTTAACAAAGAAAAATCAACCAAAAAAATGAGTTTGCGTGTCACCTCTGACACGTATGTCATAGGTTCGCCATCACTGTTCTAATGTAATGGAGAGCAAACACAAGGTTCTGAAAATAAAAACTAACATGTTCTGACTGGTGCTATCAAAAGAGAATGCTATTGTGTAAAAGATCATTTGAAGAAAGAAAATGGAGGCAAGAAGAGCAGTCAGTAAGTTTAAGTAAGAATAATGAGGGCTTGAACTAGGACAGTGGGCATGGGGATAGATTAAAAACTACCGGTATTATTTGTCTAGAACTTTACAGTTAATAAAAAATCTTCAGCACTAGCTGGTTTCGCTCAGTGGCTAGAGCATCAGCCTGGGGACTGAAGGGTCCCGGGTTTGATTCCAGTCAAGGGCACATGCCCGGGTTGCAGACTCGATCCCCAGTAGGGGGGATGCAGGAGGCAGCCAATCAATGATTCTCTCTCACCATTGATGTTTCTCTCTCTCTCTCCCTCTCCCTTCCTCTCTGAAATCAATAAAAATATATTTTTTAAAATCTTCACATCCACTGTGGAGATAGACCAGCAACAAAAATGTCTGACCTTTTGCCAAATACTACTAATCCTAGATAACTATAGCTACTTCCCCTAATTTTGCTGCTAGCCCAGGGAGCACTGCTGGAAGACATAAAACTAAACAGGCTTGCTTAATTACATCAAATTCAGCCTTTGCTTTAATAATAATTTACATTTCATTAACTCCTTAACATATTTCTTCTAGCAGTGATTCCAGATACTTTTTTTCCTCCTTAAATATCCATTTTTTCTCCCAATAGCAGCGGTTCTCAACCTGTGGTTCGCGACCCCTTTGGGGGTCGAACGACTCTTTCACAGGGGTCGCGTAAGACCATCGGAAAACACATATATAATTACATATTGTTTTTGTGATTAATCACTATGTTTTAATTATGTTCAATTTGTAACAATGAAAATACATCCTGCATATCAGATATTTACATTATGATTCATAACAGTAGTAAAATTACAGTTATGAAGTAGCAACGAAAATAATTTTATGGTTGGGGGTCACCACAACATGAGGAACTGTATTAAAGGGTTTCGGCATTAGGAAGGTTGAGAACCACTGCCCTATACTCTACCTTTTTTTCAAGATACTTAATGTTTTTCAGATTATAAATACATGCTCAGTATAGACAATTCAGAAAAAAAAGCCAGAAAGTAGGAAAATTAAAACCACCTATGATCTGCTAACATTTTGATATTTTCAGTCTTCCTTTTTACTATACATGAGTGTTTTCTGTATTCCACTCTTTCAAAACATGTATTAGCTGCATATGAATGCACCATAACTTAATCGTTCTCCAATATGTTGGTCATTCAGATATTTCCTTTTTTTTTTTTTACTAATATAAACAGCAATTCACTGAATAATCTGGAACATGAATCTTTATCTCTCTTTGATTAAAAAAAACCCCTAATATACATGGTCAAAAGGTTTAAACTGGAGACTTTTATTTATAGTGTCTTCTGTTGTTTGTTTTAATAAAAGCAGGTAAGCTTAAATTTTTAGAAATATAGAAGTATAACGTATCAAATAAAAGTGACTGAAAACCCTACCACCTAGAGATAACTGCGAGTAATAATTTAGTGAGTTTCCTTTAAGCTTTTTAATCTATATTCATAGATATTTTAGCCAAAATTGGGATATTATTGTATCCAATTTTTCATTCTTCTTTTTTCATTTTACATTTTAACTAGAATGTTTTTAATATCATTACATTGACGGACAACCAAGATGGCGGCCTAGGTAAACACCTGAACTTGCTGCTGCGCACAACCACATTAAAACTACAACTAAAAGACAAAACGAATATCATCCAGAACCATGGGAAGGCTGGCTGAGTGGAAATTCTATAACTAGAAGGAAAGAGAAAAGCGCATTCAGTCCGGTAGGAGGTGCAGAGGTGTGGAAGTGCAGAGGTACAGAGGCACGCGAAAGGGGCTGGCAGCTGGGTACGCTGTTGTCTTTTTCAATCGGGAGGGAGAGGCGAGAATTTGGGGACCCAGACTCATATGGGAAGAAACTGGACTGTCTGGCATCGGGCCGGAACGTGAGGGCAGCTTTCTCACAGAGGTGCTTGCAGCGGTCATTGTTCCTGCACGGGGCCACGGGACACAGAGACCTGAGGTCTTCTCCAGGGCAGGGCTGACTGGCAGCCATTGCTGTTTGCTTTGGTGATTCCCTGAGACCCCGCCCCCCCCAATTACAACTCCACCTAAGCTGTGTGCAGAGGCTTTTGCATACGAATGGCCTGGCCTTTCTCCGCCTAAAAACCTGTCAAACTGCAGCTGGGTCAGAGAACCCCAGAGGGTCCAAAAGAAGGCCTAAGGCTCTCAGCAGCAGCAGCCGGCCTTGCTTCACAGCTGTGCCTCATCTGGGCACCTCCAAACCCCAAACAAAGAGGAGGAATCTGCAGATCTCTCTGTAGCTCCTACTGGGTAGCCTCAGGCAGTGGCTGACCTTGCACCTCCTTGGAGATCCAAGAGCCAGTGTACCCAGTGGTCAGAGTGAGACCATCCAGATTACATCTCTTCACATCCGTAAGAGACACACTCAAGGGACAGACTCAGTGAGCGACAAAGCCCCACTGAAGCCAAGTCCTGCTCCATAAGGGTGTCTCCAGCACAGAAGTTCTCCCATTGTAGACACAACTGGTACAGCCAACTGGTCTGGAGGTCAATTCCTCTCAGTGATACCAACAGCAATCAAGGCTTAACTACAACAAGACTGTGCACAAAGCCCACAAAAGGGTGCACCAAGAGTGTCCACCTCAGGTAATTAGGGAGGCTGAGTCACTGGGCCCTATAGGACACATAGCACAGAAAGCCACTCTATCAACATAGGGAAGCAGCCAAAATGTGGAGACAAAGAAACAGGTCACAAATGAAAGAAATGGAGGAAAGCAAACTATTGGACATAGAGTTCAAAACCACAGTTTTAAGGTTACTCAAGAATCTTCTAGAAACCTCCGAGAAATTCAGTGAGACCCTCCAGGATATGAAAAAGGACCAATTATAAATTAAGCATACACTGACTGAAATAAAGAATAATATACAGAGATCCAACAGCAGACTAGAGGGTCGCAAGAATCAAGTCAAAGATTTGAAATACGAAGAAGCAAAAAACACCCAACTGAAAAAGCAAAAGGAAAATGGAACACAAAAATATGAAGATA